ACCATTTAGAATCTGTATGTTTGAATATGGATCTGAAGTTGGCGTGACGTGGAAGTCGTGCTGCTGGACTCGGCTGTAGTTCCTTTAGCATAACGTTAGCATTTTGCTTCTGACGACTAGATTTATGATTCGAAGATTGTAAAAGTAGGGTAGACATGTGGAGATTATCCGGCTGAACAAAACGTGCATTTATCAAACATGTTTGTTTTCCACAGACCTTATTTCAAGCTATTTTCCAAAACCCTATGGAGAAATCCCACTGACTCTTGAGACGAGGGAACAGGAAGTGGTAAAATGCTAACTCACTTCCGGGTTGTACCACTCTGTAAAGGACAAAATAAAAATATATAGTTTATATAGCAACTGCATTGCAACCTGGTATGCATTTATAGGACCAGCGTGAATAAATGTCATAGTTTCACATGAACCTGCTGAATGAATACAACCGAATTCACAAATATGCATTTACCTGCAGCTCTGTGTACTGTTGAAGTTGATATGCCAAACTTTTTCTTAATCTGAAGGACACGCTCCAGTCGTTATGACGGTCACGTTAGCGTGGCCTGTGACCTGTCAGTGTAAATAAGATGGATGGCCCGAGGTGAAGCCAGGAAAGAATACATATGAAAGCTTATTGTGCACACATGGTCCATTAAGCACTTTCCTGCTTGTTTTTATGGCTGGTTTAATGTTTTTTAATCCGTCAGAAAATCAATTTGTTCACGTCGCTGCCAGGTTGCTGAGCGGAGCACTCCATCACGCATCCATAGACCTTCAACGCCTGAACAAGGCATTGTGCTGGATGCTAGTCATCAGAAACTGCTCTACAGAGATAAATGAATGCATTGATAGATGGATAGATGTGAGGAAAGGAACCCAAAAGGAAATGACAAGTTTATGTGAAAGTGAGTGGAAAGCTATATGGACAGACAGACTGATCGGCCCATATAGACAGTATCTAGAGAACCAAGCAAATCTGTTAATAATGGAACAAAAATAATGCTTTCGAATTAAACAAAGCTTTTCTAGTAATTTATAAAAAATGCTATCAGCAAGGTTTATATTTAACATTTGTCTTCTAGTGTTGGTGCTATATCATAAAAAATATCTATTTAAGTCCAGTATGAATTGTTTTAGTCACAAAACAAATGTCTTTCTGTTTTCCAGACATATTGCGCTCCACTATACAATAAACTGTTTTGTTATGTGTATTACAATAACCTCACTAAATGATTTACAGATGGCAAAAACTTTATTTTCAGCCACATGAAAATGAATAATTGAACCATCTCTCTCGTCACAGGATCCATCTGTGAAAACGGACGTATTTAAACTCGGAGATATACACAGAAAGAAAAGAAAGAAGCTTTGTTTCTTTAAACCCCCACAGTGAACCAGCGATTATCCTGCATTCAGCAAAAACCAAATAAATCCTGTAATACCTCCAAAGGGTCGGGATTGTAAAGAGAGCTAATTTGACAGAACAAGAGAGAAAAAGTATTTTCTGTATTAATCTGTGGATTTAGCGGGAGAAAGGAAGGATACCTGGGATGAAGTGGGGGTTTGGCTGAATCCATTACACCCGTGCTATGGGATTATTAACATTGCCAGGAGTCACCGGGGCTGATGAATACACATGAAGACATTGCAGGGGCAGTGAAATGTGTCATTTCCTCTCCCGACAGCTCGGAAAGGAAGAAAAACCATTAAAATTGTATGCAATTTATTTGTCAGCTTATGAGAAGAAAAAAAGGAAAGTCTGTATCTCGTAAAAGTAGCTTTTTTTCATTGCAGGAAGGCTATTTTCCCCTTGAGCTCCTCGCAAAAGGAATACGCCTTATTAGCCTCTGCGACACACAGAGCGTTATTTGGTTATGCAGTGAAGCCTAAAACAGAGTCGGCGTTTAAAACTGCGTCGTCCCTCCATCTCACTGAGTGATTACCTCTGTCAGACCACACAAGACACACACACACACACACACACACAAGCATGCACACACGGAGCATAAAACACCTGTCCCCTAAAACGCCCGAGAGCTCTCATCCTGCCTCTGCCACACCTCGATGTGCAGTAATTCTAGAAAAGGGCCTCTTTAAGTTTGGTGGCCATAAAAGCCAGACGCAGCCTGAGCCGTTTAATGGCTGCTGGGATGCATCGAGCTCAGAGCGAGGAAGCATTCCTACACCATTAGTCTAACACTCAGATCACGGAAAGAGCCGCCTATGAAAATGTGTTTTATTCTTTGTGATGCAAATGCAGTAAATGAAAGGGCGTGGGTGAGAGGTACTCAACAAAAGCCATTTCCGGGGATGAATGGAAAAAGGAGGAAACTGAAATAACTAACAGCATCGTTAATGAGTTTTGCGCGAGAGTAGGAAGCAGTTGGCTCACAGCTCCTCCCCAGCCGCTCTCTCCTTGAACACTGCAAAACTCAGGAGGAGGAGGAGGACGGGGAAATGCGAGCCAGCCCTGGTGGACGCTGGTGTTCTGTTAAGCCCCGTCTTAATTAAAAAACATGAAGGGACAACACAAAAGCAGAGAACCCGAGGATATGCCGGTTCTCCCTGAGCCCTTTCCAAGGACTCTCTAAATGTTTAATTTGGCTGCAGACGGTCACATTTATCAGTGGGTTTTTCAGTTTGGATGCTCATAAACAGCCTGCTTCCTGGATGGAGGCATGTTGGCCTGAGGGGGGAGACAGACAGACAGACAGACAGAGAGAGAGAAGAGAGACGCAGCATCACGACTTTCTGATTGAAAGAGAGAGCAACAAACAGAGGGACAGGGAAAAAAAGACAACGTCATTATACCGGATTTCCAATTTAGTGCTGACTATCTTCGCCACATCTATCCATCGTCAAAGTGTTGGCTGGGAGTTAAATGAGCAAAAGAGGCAGCAGTTTCCTCTCATAGAAGCATTGCTCAGAAGTGAAGCTGCCTCTCTTCAGGCTGGGAAATTAAATGTTGGAGCCCCTGTGGTTGTAGCTAAACACTGGTCTGTCTTAACTTGAATCCTTTCTTTTCTATCATGTGCAAAAGTGAGACCCAAAACAAAGTATGAGAATGCACTATAAGTACATGATATGTAACTGTTACGACCCGTCCTGTACTCCGTGGTAGTGGCTCGTGGGGGGACCCGCAACTAGAGATGATCCGATCACGTGATCGGGGATCGGAGCCGATCACGTGATTTTCAAAAGATCGGAATCGGGAGAAAAAAAATCGGGGATCTGGATTTTTATTTTAATTTTTTTTTTAAATACTTTTTTTTAAATTTTGTATTCAATGTTACCAAACAAAAATGACCATGTTCAAGTCTTAAAGAAATCCTGAGGCCTTAGTTTTGG